CCAGCAAAAACAGCCGAATGAACTGCACCAAGAAAATCCATAAAGATGATGCTGCCTGAGACATTGTGGGGTCCAATCTCCACCCCAGTATATTCAGGACATAGCACATTAAGTCACTCATTTGGAGATTAGTTTGGGGTTAAGGAAATAATATGGGTGCTGTATTAGTCCGTTCTCATGCTGCTAATAAAGACATACCTGAGACTGGGTGATTTATAAAGGAAAGAGGTTTAATTGACTCACAGTTCAGCATGGCTGGGGAGGCCTCAGGAAACTTACCATCATGGAAGAAGGGGAAGTAAACACCTCCTTCCTCACATGGTGGCAGGAAAAAGAAGTGCTGAGCAAAAGGGGGAAAAGCCCCCCCTTTTTTTTTGAGATGGAGTCTCGCTCTGTCGCCCGGGCTGGAGTGCAGTGGCCGGATCTCAGCTCACGGCAAGCTCCACCTCCCGGGTTCACGCCATTCTCCTGCCTCAGCCTCCCGAGTAGCTGGGACTACAGGCACCCGCCACCTCACCCGGCTAGTTTTTGTATTTTTTTTAGTAGAGACGGGGTTTCATCATGTTAGCCAGGATGGTCTGGATCTCCTCACCTCATGATCCACCCGTCTCGGCCTCCCAAAGTGCTGGGATTACAGGCTTGAGCCACCGCGCCCGGCCAGAAAAGCCCCTTTTAAAACCATCAAATCTCATGGGAACTCACTCACTATCTCAAGAAGACCGGCATGGGGTTAAGTGCCATCATGATTCAATTAACTCCCACCAGGTCTCTCCCATGACATGTGGGGATTATGGGAACTATAATTCAAGATGACATTTGGGTGGGGACAAAGCCAAACCTTATCTTTCCAGCCTTGACTCCTCCCAAATTTCATGTCCTCATATTTCAAAACCAATCATGCCTTTTGAACAGTCCCCAAAAGTCTTAGCTCATTCCAGGATTAACCCAAAAGTCCAAGTCCAAAGTCTCATCTGAGACAAGGCAAGTCCCTTCTACCTATGAGCCTGTAAAATCAAAAGCAAGTTAGTTACTTCCTAGATACAATGGGGGTACAGGCGTTGGATAAATACACCTGTTCCGAGTGTGAGAAATTGGCCAAAACGAAGGTGCTACAGGCCCCATGCAAGTTAAAATCCAAGAAGGCAGTCATTAAACTTTGAAGTTCCAAAATGTCTCCCTTGACTCCATGTCTCACATTCAGGTCATGCCGATGCAAGAGGTGGGCTCCCATGGCATTGGGCAGCTCTGCCCCTGTGGCTTTGCAGGGTACAGCCCCCCTCCCAGCTGCTTTCACAGCTGGCATTGAGTGTCTGTGGCTTTTCCAGGGACATGGTGCAAGCTCTCGGTGGATATACCATTCTAGGGTCTGGAGGACGTTGGCCCTCTTCTCACAGCTCCACTAGGCAGTGCCACAGTGGGTACTCTGCATAGGGGCTCCAACCCCACATTTCCCTTCCTCAGTGCCTTAGCAGAGGTTCTGCATGAGGGCTGTGTCCCTGCAGCAGACGTCTCCCTGGACACCCAGGCATTTCCATACATCCTCTGAAATCTAGGTAAAGGTTCCCAAACCTCAATTCTTGACTTCTGTGTGCCTGCAGGCCCAACACCATGTGTAAATCACCAAGGCCTGGGGCTTGCACCCTCTGAACCAATGGCCTGAGCTGTACCTTGGCCTCTTTTAACTGGAGCAGCTGGAGCCAAAGCAGATGGGATGCAGGCCACCATGTCCTGAGGCTGCACAGAGCAGGGGGGCCTGGGCCTAGTCCATGAAACATTTTTCCCTTTAGGTCTCTAGCCTGTGATAGGTGGGGCTGCCATAAAGTTCTCTAACATGCCCTGGAGACACTTCCCAATTGTCTTGGTGATTAATATTAGGCTCCTCATTACTGATGCAAAGTTCTGCGGCTGGCTTGAATTTCTCCCCAGAAAATCAGGTTTTCTTTTATTTCACATTGTGAGGCTGCAAACTTCCCAAACTTTTATGTTGTGCTTTCTCTTGAATGCTTTGCTGCTTATAAATTTCTTCTGCCAGACACCCTAAATCATCTCTCTCAAGTTCAAAGTTCCACAGATCTCTAGGGCAGGAGCAAAACGCCACCAGTCTGTTTGCATAGCAAGAGTGACCTTTACTTCAGTACCCAACAAGGTCCTCATCTCCATCTGAGACCCCCTCAGCCTGGACTTCATTGTTCATACCACTATCATCATTTTGGTCAAAGGCATTCAACAAGTCTCCAGAAAGTTCCAAACTTTCCCACATTTTCCTGTCTTCTTCTAAGCCCTCCAAACTGTTTCAGCCTCTGACTGTTACCCAGTTCCAAAGTCGCTTCCATATTTTGGGGTATCTTTATAGCAGTACCCCACTACTGGTACTAATTTACTGTATTAGTCCATTCTCATACTGCTAATAAAGACTTACTTGAGACTGGGTAATTTATAACAGAAAGCAGTTTAATTGACTTACTGTTCAGCATGGCTGGGGAGGCCTCAGGAAACTTACAATCATGGTGGAAGGGAAAGCAAATATGTCCTTCTTCACATGGTGGCAGGAAGGCAAGTGCCGAGAAAATGGGGAGAAAGCCCCTTATAAAACCATCAGATCTTGTGAGAAATCACTTACTATCATGAGAACAGAAGCCTGGGGGTAATCGTCCCCATTATTCAATTACCTCCCACTGGGGCCCTCCTGCAGCATGTGGGAATTATGGGAACTACAATTCAAGTTTGGGTGGCAACACAGACAAACAATACACAGGTGCCAAGTTGAAAAATGATGGGCTTGGGATGGTTAATTTTATGTATCACAACGACTGTATTAATGAATACTTAGAAGACTGGTAAAACATTACTTCTGAGTCTGTGAGTGAGGAGTTTGGTGTGTGTGTCATTTGACTGAGGGGTAAAGATCCACCCCCAAGAAAAACAAGCACCATCCAATCTCCTTAAGGCTAAATACAACCAAAAAGGCATAACTTTTTCCTGTCTGTCTCTCCTGGAGGAAGGATATTTCTTTTCCTGCCCTTGGACAACAGAAATCAAAGATGTCTGCCCTTGAAACTCATAGCTTACTCAGATTTGTAGGCTTTTGGCCTTAAACTGAGAATTACCCCAGGGCTTCCATGGTTCTGAAGATACGGTGTTGGACTGGGCCACACTACCAGCATCTCAGGGTCCTAAGCTTATGGATGGCCTGCGTTGGGATTCTCAGTCTCTATAATCACATGAGCCCATGCCTAATAAATTGTCTCTCATCTATCTATCTATCTATCTATCTATCTATCTATCTATCTATCTATCATCTATCTATAACTATCATCTAGTGGTTCTGTGTCTCTGAAAAACACAGATTATACACCAACAAATGCTTCAGCCTGCTGGTCCATCACGCATTCTCTCTCTTTGCTCCCCTAGACCCCTGCTGCTTGGGAGTGTTTGTTTCAGAGAGTTCTCCCCTTCCCATTGGCCCTGCAGAGAATGCTGCCCTCTTATCTCCAGGATCTGTTAGTCATACACTGAGGGATATTTCACGCCTTTTGCTGTGTTGTCTCTTAGGTGTCTCACTTGACCAACATACCTGGACCTCATGTTTTTGTCCTACTCATTACTCTTAAAGAGTGTCTACCTTGGTAGGGATAAACTGAACATGGGTCAGAAAGGAGCCATAAGGATGTATTCCAATAAAAATGAGTATTCTGTGAGAGAGAAACCTGGTTACAGGTCAGACAATTGGACATTAGGCCATCCACCAGCATAAATAAACATCCCAAGAAAAGCATACTGTGAAAATTCAGTACTAAACCCTTGAGTCCTGTTGAGCAGGGCTATAGTTTATAGCCATGATCCAGAGAGAAACCTCAAAAGCAAACAAGAAATGACAGATATAAAACAAATATGGTGAGATAATTAGTCTATAGTTCAAGATACACATTCAGGAGGAAGACAGACATGGCACTGAGTTACATGAAAGTTTGTTTTGCAGTGACAGCTTTCTAAAAACAGAAAAATCTATATCATGAGAATTCCAGTCCTAATCATATAAATATGAACAAATATACCTAAAAATTACAGTCCAACTCAAATATTTATTTATTTGAGACAGGGTGATGCCATTTTGCCCAACCTGGAGTGCTGTGGCTATTCACAGATGCAACCATAGCAAACTATGACCTCAAACACCTGGTCTCAAGTGATCCTTCTGCCTCACACTTCCTAGCAGCTGGGACTACAGACACATGCTACTATGCCTGGCTAGATCCTATTCTTAAATTCAGAAAAGCTGCATATCTATAAATTTTTCTTTCTCATTTGTCTTTCTGATCAAATAGATGATAATCATACAAATCACTTTATAAATAGTCAAAGCAAGTGTAGATGCATTATGGTATTCATAAAATATTCTGCTCTGCCCACTTGTTACTCTGGCCAACACTACTTTTGGATAATTGAGAAAATAAATGGGCTTTGGTACTCCTTAAATAATAGAGTAAATGAAAAATAAATTCATATAATTCATAATTTATAATGTTTATTATATTTGCACCCAGAGGTTAAGGTTCCAGGAAGAGTCAATTAAGTTTAGACCAAGTTGTGATGTCAAATATGTGAATTATGTCTTTACTCTTTAATTTTGAAATAAATTTATATTTACAGAAAGTTATAAAAATATTACGTAGCATTTCATCTACCCTGCAACTTCCTTTAATGTTGACATCTTATATAACCATGGATAGAATACATATGAAAACATGAAAATTGATGACGGTATAAAACTACTAACTAAAGTACAGACGTTATTCATATTTTACCAGGTTTTCTACTGATATCATTTTTAAGTTTTTGGATTCACTCCAGGATAACACATTATACTTACTGTCAGATGCATTATTTATTGCACCATAGCCAATTACCACATAGCTCAGAGGCTAAAAAACCGACACACACACATTACTCACAGTTTCTCTGGGTCAGGAATCCAGATGTAGATGTTGCTGAGGACTCACCTGAAGAATCAGCTGGGGAGGGATCATCTTTCAAGCTTATAGTGGTTGTTAGGAGTCAATTGTTGCCCAGGTAGAGAAGACTTCAGTGGTAACTTTCTCTTGACCCATTAACAACTTAATAATGATCCTTAATTCTTCATAAAAGAAAATAAAAACAATAGAGAAGAAGAGATTACTGCCTAATGTATTCTATGAGGCAGATTACTCTGATACTACAACTAGATAGATATATTTTAAGAAAGGAAAATACAAGGGCATGGTGGCTCACATCTGTAATCTCAGTACTTTGGGAGGCTGACATGGGTGGATCATCTGAGGTCAAGAATTTGAGACCAGCCTGGCCAATATCATGAAACCCTATCTCTACTGAAAACACAAAAATTAGCCGAGTGTGGTGGCAGGTTCCTGTAATCCCAGCTACTCAGGAGGCTGAAGCAGAAGAATTGCTTGAATCCAGAAGGTGGAGTATTCAGTGAGCCAAGATTGTCTCACTGCACTCCATCCACCCTGGGCAACAGAGAGAGACTCCATCTCAAAAAAAGAAGAAGAAAGGAAAATTGTAGACCAATATGTCTTATGAATACTGAGGCAATAATCCTCAAAGAAATAAACAAATAATTCAGGTTCTTAAAACACATTTATACACTCTGATGAAGGGTACTTACGTCAGGATTGTAAGTTTGATAAAATAAAATATGTAAAAACAATTAGTGTAATACATTTTATTAATAAATGAAAAAACAAAGCCTCATGATGACCTCCAAGGACATGTAACAAGCATTTGAAAAATCCAAAACCCACTCATGGTAAAAACATGAAAAAATTATGCATGAAAGGAAATGTTCTTTACTTGGAAGCAGACATCCATGAAAAGCTCACATAACACTGGTATCAAGAAAGTCTCAGTAATTTTTCCAAAATTAAAAACTCAAAAAGGTTATCCACTACCACCATTCTATTATAAATTGTAATTGAGGATATAGTCAATAAATTATGCTAGAAAAATAAATATAACACTATCAGAATGAAAATAAATCAATCAGTCTGGGTGCGGTGGCTCACGTCTGTAATCCCAGCACTTTGGGAGGCTGAGGAAGGTGGATCACCTGAGGGTGGAAGTTCCAGCCCAGACTGGCATGGTGAAATCCCGTCTCTACTAAAAATATACAAAAATTAGCCAGGCATGGCAGCAGGCGCCTGTAACCCCAGCTATTTGGGAGGCCGAGGAAGGAGAATCACTTGAGCCTAGGAGGTGGAGGCTGCAGTGAGCCGAGACTGCACCACTGCACTCCAGCCTGGGCAACAGAGCAAAACTCCCTATCAAAAAATAAAAAAAAAAGAAATCAAACTGTCTCTATGTACCAGTAAAATGATCTAGTATATACAGAATCCTAAGGAATCCACTAATATAAGATTAGAACATAAAATTCAGTAATGTTGTAGTGTACAAGGTCAATAAAAAACAATTGCATTCTATTATACTGCAAATAAACTGAAAAAGGAAACTCAAAAACAATTCCACTTAATATAGTTGGGAATCCTGTACAAGGCGACTGTACACTGGGCCTCATTCCTGGTCCCCAGTGATTTCTAAGGAAGGGGTGAGTTGAACAGGCAAGGAGTGATCTACTCTTACCACCGCCATCTGGAATCCTGGCAGCACCCCATGACCGTGAAGGACACTTGAGCTTGCAGGGAGAGCTGTTCAGAGAGGTAATAAGGGCAGGACTCCAGCCTGTGTAGAGCCCAGAGGGTTTGTTGCTGGAATGTCTGTAGTGAAGCACAAGCAGGGATGCCCATTACCCAAGGCTCACCACGCTCCCCTAGGAGACTTCAGTCTTAGGTGAACTGTTGGACTAGAACACAGCAGGGTGATCTTGCCTGTGAGATGGGGTAATTCCAATCTCAGTGACCCGTATCTACTAACTTCTAGAGCCCCAGCTTGGCTGCACTCGCTTGTAGTGCAGCCTCACATGCCTAACTAAGGTGCCTCCCAGGGGCCGACATCATACCTGCTTCACTGGCAGACTATGCTAGACTGTCAGGGAGCTCCAGCAGAGTGGTCCCTGTTGACATACACCCAGTTCACCTACACCCAAACCCAACTGCAGCCTCCCCCATGCCACTTTGCTGGCATGCACTTGCCCACAGCCACCTTGCTACCACTTTGCCAGCACATGTGTGCGTGTGGGCAGACCTCACCCAGTCGTTAGTAAATACCTTGGCCCTTCCAGTGCAGCAGGTTCCTAACTTTGACAGGACAGAGAACAAAGCTGGAGGTTGGATATCAACCCCACAGAGTTACAGCACACATCCCAGGAGTACTGAACTCAGCCTAAAATCTTCCAGAAATAAAGCCAATTGACTTAACCCACTACATACCACAATCAAACCCCCAGGGGCATCAAAGAAGATAAAAGCAAAGTAACTCATCCAAAGGACAATAATTACAAAGACTGAAGGAACATCAGCCCACTTCCCAAAAAATGGTTCTTAACCAGGCTGAAATGACAGAAATAGAATTCAGAACATGGATAAGAACAAAGATAATCAATATTCAGAAGAAAGTCAAAACCCAATCCAAGGTTTCTAAGGTATAAAATAAAATGGTACAAAAGATAAAAGACAAAATTGGCATTTTAAGACATAACAAAACTGATTTGATAGAGCTGAAAAACATCACTTCAAGAATTTCAGAATATAATGGCCACTATTTACAGGAGAATCAACCAAGCATAGAAAAGAATCTCAGAGGCTGGGCGTGGTGGCTCACGCCTGTAATCCCAGCACTTTGGGAGGCCAAGGCTGGTGGATCACAAGGCCAGGAGATCGAGATGATCCTGACTAACATGGTGAAACCCTGTCTCTGCTAAAAATACAAAAAATTAGCTGGGCATGGTGGCAGGTGCCTGTAGTCCCAGATACTCGGGAGGCTGAGGCAGGAGAATGGCGTGAACCTGGGAGGCAGAGCTTACAGTGAGCTGAGATCGCGCCACTGCCCTCCAGCCTGGGCAACAGAGTGAAACTCAGTCTTAAAAAGAAAAACAAAACCAGAATCTCAGAGCTTAAAGACCGGTTCTCTGAAATACCTAGGATGAAAATTTTTAAAAAGGTGAAAGAATAATAGACAAAACCTCCAAGAAATATGAGATTTTATATAGAGACCAAATTATGGCTTATTGGTGTCCCTGAAAGAGAAGGAGTGAAAGAAAGCCACTTGGAAAACATTCCAGGATATTATCCAAGAAACTTTTCCCAAACTCGTTAGAGAGACCAACATTCAAATTGAGGAACTTCAGAGAAACTCTGTCAGATGCTACACAAGATGACCATCCCTAAGACACTTAGTCAACAGATTCTCCAAGGTTGAAATGAAAGAAAGAATGTGAAAGGCAACTAGACAGAAGGGGCTGGTTACCCACAAAAGGCAACATTATCACACTACCAGTAGACTTTTCAGCAGAAATCTTACAAGCCTGAAGAGATTGCAGGAAGTAGGGGTGAGGGTGGGAGCAGGATGTGCATTTAGCATTCTTAAAGAAAAGAATTTCCAACCAGGAATTTCACATGCAATCAAACTAAGCTTCATAAGTGAAGGAGAAATGAGATTATTTTCAGACAAGCAAATGCTAAGATAATTCATTACCATCAGACCTGCCTAATGAGAGACCCTGATGGGAGTGCTAAATATGGCAAGGCCATTACCAGTCACTACAGAAACACACTGAAGTACATAAAGCATTAACACTATAAAGTAACCACACAAAAAAGTCTGCATAATAACCAGGTAACACAATCACAGGATTAAATCTATACATATCAATATTAATATTGGATGTGAACAGGCTAAATTCCCTAATTAAAAAGTACAGAGTGGCAGGTTAAGTACAGAAGGCAGACTCAACAGTATGCTGGCTTCAAGAGACCCACTTCATATGTACTGACACTCAGGCTCAAAGTAAAGGGATGAAGGAAAATCTACCAAGCAAACGGAAAATAGAAAAAAAGCAGAGGTTACTGTTCTAATTTCAGGAAAAAAAAAAAAAGACTTAAAAAAATAAAGATAAAAAGACAAAGAAAGGGTCAAGGGTTCCATCTAACAAGAAGACCTAATTATGATAAATATATATGCACCTAACACTGAAGCATGCAGGTTCATAAAGCGAGTTCTTAGAGACCTAGAAGACACTTTGATAATCACAAAATAATAGCTGCAGACTTCCAAAACCCCACTGACAGTATTAGACAGACCATCAACTTGGAAAACTGATGAAGATATTTAAGACCTGAACTTGACACTTAATCAAATAGACCTAATGGATATCTAAGGAACAGTGCACTCCAAAACAACAGAATATACATTCTTCTGAACACATGGCACATACCCTAAAATTGAACATACACTCAGCAATAAAACAATCCTCAGCAAATTAAAAAAACTAAAATTATACAAACCACATTCTCAGAACAGAAATCAAAACCAAGAAGATCACTCAAAACCATACAGTTACATGCAAATCAAGCAACCTTCTTCTGAATGATTTTTGAGTAAATAATGAAATTAAGGCAGAAATCAAGAAATTCTTTGAAACTAATGAGAACAAATATACAACATACCAGAATCTCTGGGACACAGTTAAAGCAGCATTAAGGGATAAGTTTATAACACTAAACACCCACATCAAAAAGTTAGAAATATCTCAAATTAACAATCTAACATCATTCTTAGAGGTACTAAAGAAACAAGGACAACCAACCCCACAGCTAGGAGAAGACAAAAAATAACCAAACTCAGAGCTGAAGTGAAAGAAGTTGGTATGCGGAAAACCATATGAAAAACTACACAAATTTAGAAGTCGTTTCATGGAAAGAATAAACAAGATTGTGATATAGTTTGGATCTGTAACCTCACAAAATGTCATGTTGAATTGTAGTCCCCAGTGTTGGAGATGGGAAATGGTTGGAAGTGATTAGATAATGTAGGTGGTGGTTTCTCATGAATGGTTTAGCATCATCTCCTTGGTGCTGTTCTTGTGATAGTGAGTTATCACGAGATATGAAGCATCTCTCCTTCTCTATCTGTTGCTCCTTCTCTGACCATGTATGATGCCTGTTCCTCCTTTGCCATCTGCCATGATTGGAAGCTTCCTGAAGCCTCCCCAAAAGCAGAAGCCACAACCTGAACCATAACCCAATTAAACCTCTCTTCTTCATAAATTACCCAGTCTCTTTATATCAATGTGAGAATGAACTAATATAAAAATTGTTACTGGGGAGTGGGACATTGCCATAAAGATACCCGAAAATATGGAAGCAGTTTTGAAACTGGGTAATGGGCAAAGGTTGGAAGACTTTAGAGGACTCAGAAGAATACAGGAAAATAAGTAAAAATTGGAAACTTCTTAGAGACTTGAATGATTGTGACCCAAATGCTGATAGTCATATGAACAGAGATGGCCAGGCTAATGATGTCTCAGGTGGAAATGAATAACTTATTGGGAACTGAAGCAAAAATCACTTTTGTTATGCCTTAGCAAAGAACTTGGCCACATTGTGTCCCTGCCCTAGGGATCTGCGAAACTAAATTTTGAACTTAAGAATGATGATTTAGTGTATCTGGTGGAATACATTTCTAAGTATCAAAACATTTAACATGAGGCCTGCCTGCTTCTAACAGCCTGTGCCTATGTGCATGAGCAAAAAATGACCTAAAGTTGGCACTTACATTTAAGGAGGAAGCAGAGTGTAAAAGTTTGGAAAATTTGCAGCGTACTCATATGATAGAAAAGTAAAGCCAATTCAAGAAGGCTGCAGAAATTTACATAAGTAAAAAGGAGCTAAGTGCTAATAGCCAAGACAATTGCAAGAAGGCCTTGAATACATTTTAGAGACCTTTGAAGCAGCCCCTCCCATCACAGACTTGGAAGCCTAGGAGGATAGAATGGTTTCACGGGCCAGGCCCAGGGTCCTGCTGCCCTTTGCAACCTCTTGTTACTGCTCGCTGCATCCCAGCTGTTTCAGCTTTAGCCATGGTTTAAATGGGTCTAAGTCCAGTTCAGGCCACTGCTTCAGAGGGTGTGAGCTATAAGCCTCAGTGTCTTCCACATGGTGTTAAGCCCGCAGGTACACAGAGTGCAAGAGTTGACCAGAGGATGTATGGAATGTATGGAAAAGTTCGGGTATCCAGGCAGAAGATTACTGCAGAGGCAGAACCCTCATGGAGAAGCACCACTAGGGTAGTGCAGAGGGGATATGTTGGGTTGGAGTCCACATGCAGAGTCTCTGCCTAGTGGAATTGTGAGAAGGGGACCATAGTCCTCCAGACGCTGAAATTGTAGGCCCACTGAAGCTTGCATGTTGTGCCTGGAAAAGCCACAGGCACTCAACGCCAGTCCATGAGAGCAGCCACAGGGGCATGGCTGTGAAAGGCCTTGGGAGCCCATCCCTTGTATCAGTGTGCCTTGGATATGGGATCTGGAGTCAAAGGATATTATTTTGGAGCTTTAAGATTTAACGACTACCCTTCTGGGTTTCACACTTTCATGGGGCCTATACCCTCTTTCTTTTGGCTGATTTCTCTCTTTTGGAACAGGAATGTTTACCAAATGCCTGTAATTCCACTGTATCTTGGAAGTAACTAGCTAGTTTTGTTTGTTTTTTGAGACAGAGTCTCAGTCTGCCCAGGCTGGAGTGCAGAGGTACGATCTTGGCTCACTGCAACCTCTGCCTCCTGGGTTCAAGCAACTCTCATGTCTCAGCCTCCTGAGTAG